TTGCAGACAGAGTCCTGTAACTAGAGCATTTTTTGATTTCCAATGTGTTGAATACAGAATTCAGTACTTTTATCCACTTGTTTACGTGTACACTGCGAATTCATGTGTATTGGGTGCGGTTGAATCAGAGTTGTAACGAGTCACTGATTTTTGTGACTCGAGTCGAGTCGAGTCATTTTAAAGAAGTGACTCGAGTCGAGTCGAGTCATTAGGTCAACAAGGTCGAGTCGAGTCGAGTCGAGTCACAGAGTGTGGTCGAGTCGAGTCGAGTCGAGTCAAATATTTAGCTCGAGTCAATTCGAGTCACAAATATTTGAACACTAAATTACAATAAAAAGCAACAAACACAAGAGAGAAAGAATACAAGGCACCAGTCTATTACGGAAATCCAAAGACATAAAGTATGCTGTATGGTACCCAACCAACAGTTTCCATTGCTAGCTCACGTCACAGATAAGAAGATGTGAAACTTCGGTCTTATAACTGGTTTGGCTTCGGGTCTAGATTTTGTTGTTCGCTGATCGCTGACAATGTTAAAACCTAATTGCATTATACAAAACTGTTTCTGATTATTTAAAGGTGGGCCCGTTCGTATCCATTTTTTTGTGTAAAATCGGGACATGAATTTAGCCAGCGTTCCACCAAGAACTTCAAAATCGCCCGAAACCAATGATGAAACCACGGATTGAGAAATGCGTTTTAAGTCTGGTTCCGGGTTTAGCATTACATGCTATAGACCAAAAGGTGGGAGTCCGCGACACGGTGTATGTTTGTTGTTTCATTATGGAGGAAGGAAACAGACTGCCGCTGTATATAAACGTACATTATTCACGAACATTAACGTGACGTGAACAAAAACTGGCAACGCGAACGGCGCAGCGTAAGTCATTGCAAATATTTGTGGCAATTAAGTTTTGCTTTTATTTTGGGACTCGAGTCTTATTAGCCTTCCTCGAGTCGAGTCGAGTCATTCTGATGAGGGACTCGAGTCGAGTCGAGTCATTTGCTCGCAGTGACTCGAGTCGAGTCGAGTCATTTACCCGTCGGGACTCGAGTCGAGTCGAGTCGCCAAAAAATGTGACTCGAGTCGGACTCGAGTCGAGTCATTGACTTGAGTCATTACAACTCTGGGTTGAATAGGCCTATTATGTATCCCAGCATGGCAACGATAGCTTTAGCTTAAACGTTCAAGCTAATACAGAGTGTTGAAAGGATGGGCGCATCCCAGTCCGCAAGCCGTGGTTGGTCCGCCGGCGGCCCGCCGGTGGCACCGCTGGCGGGCCGCCGGTGGCAGCCACCGACTACTGCCGGTGCAATTGTCCGCTCGGTCGCCGGCGGTCCGTCGGCGCAGCCGACGGAGAGCCTCTGGCGGTCCACTGGTAGACTTCCGACGGTGAACCGCCAGCGTTCCGCCAGCGGCCCTCCGTAGGCTGCCGACGGCGGACCACCGGCGGATGGGCGGACATTTGCACCAGTAGTCCGCCGATGGCAGACCTCTGGCGGTCCACTGTTGGACTACAGACAGTGGACCAACAGCCTACCGCCAGCGTCCCTCCAGCGGCCCTCCGTACGTTGCCGACGGCGGACCACTGGCGAGCGGGCGGACATTTGCACCAGTGGTCCGCCGATGGCAGACCTCTGGCGGTCCGCTGATGGACTTCAGACGGTGGACCAACAGTGGACCACCAGCGTCCCTCTAGCGGCCCTCCGTAGGTTGCCGACGGCGGACCACCAACGAGCGGGCGGACTGCAACTTAAGAACCACTGGTAGAGCGACTGAGAGCCGTCAAGGGGATAATAATATCAGACATAGGCTCGCAGACGGTTGGATCAGCATTGCCAGACGAGAACCAACCATCGGCTGGGGCCGACGTCGGGCCAGCGCGCGGTTTGCATGTATTCATATATTACTAATTGTATTTACTTATAAAAACTGAAGACACACCGATTATTTAACTTGTGTAATACTAAGAAACATTTATTGAGTTGGGCAAGACGAATATAATGACTTTAAACATATAAACGAAAATATTATGTGAAACTATAACACTGACAAAATCCATAGTTGCATAATAAAAAAAATAATTACAAAATCATAGTGCAGTTAATACAAATACATGTACTTACATTTTCAGGGCAAGACAACTCGTGAACATGCAACATTTTGTTTCACTAAAACACACCTGATAACAATGTCTGAGGTTAGGATATTTTTGATATTAGACACAAACATCACAGTATAGCATGCTGCAAACTCGAACGTCGCAAGATCACATAGAAACAACGGCATAATTATGTTAAAGCATCATAGCCAATGCTTATTTTGAATCAAAGTAAATAGTTAAGATATGCAACTGGCATATAAGGGATCTTTTGGATACAAGGAACAGTTTTGCCATACAATTAATGTTTTGGGTATTCAGAGTCAATTCAATGCACTAGGCTATATGTGTTTCCTTTGTACACCAATAGTATTTACATATAGCAGAAATAATTTCAGCGACTTATTAATTGAGATCTTCCTTTTGAGATGGGTTTTGTACCAAAAAATATACGACCTCTCCCTCTGACAAAAAAAAGGTAATTTTAGAGAAACTTAAAAATAAATTGCCTCAAAGCAACAACGGTATGAAGTTGATTCAAATGTTAAAGAGTTAACAATACCAAAAAGTGCACAAATCGTCCCCATGGGGTCCTGAGCAGTTGGACTATAAACAGTCAACAAATGTGCTCCAGTTCTTGCTGTATAGCTGCTTTTGTCGAACTTAGTATTTGGTTCGTCCTGATGAATTCTGAGTGATAAATGAAAAGAAAAGCAATGTACATTTGAGAATAAGATGACGTACTGGAACTGAGGAACAGTACACTCGGATACAGGTGAAATAAGGCGGAAGTTATTACAATGTTCCGGTTAAAAAGCCGGTTCCTCAGTGGATAGTATTTTGGGCGTTCCAGAATGATGATGTGTTATGGGAGTCTGTGACACGTGGACACTACAAGCGGCCGCTGTAACTGTATTCGCAAAACGGCATGAACATAAATGTTTCACCTTAATGCAATTATTTTTTCGCAAAGTTTTGCTTTTATCTTTGGAACTCGAGCCTAATTATCATGATGAGGACTCGAGTCGTTTGCTCGCCGTGACTCGAGTCGAGTCATTTACCCTTAGGGACTTGAGTCGAGTCGAGTCACCAAAAGTTGTGACTCTGCTTTAAATTTATAGATCTAGCCTACCCACGACAGGACCAGGGTTGTCTGGCCATGTGATGCAGTTGATGCGGAGAGCCACTTACGAACAAAAAGAAACTCAGGCATATCAACAACCTGAATTGGACTTTCTAATTGCTAACTATTGACAGCATACACACGTACTTGTAGTGGAGCAGCATAGCCCCAATAATACCAAATATTGTGCAATCTGTGATAAAATTATGAATTAAACTTCGCATGTTGGTTCTTCATGCCTTGAACAACATTTTTATTTATAAGAGGCATTTCATATTTGACTTCCGGTGACCTTTGAGAGTCAATAACCTTTAACAATTGTTCTTCAAAACTTCACTTTCCTATGTCCCACGTCTACGTCATAGTTTCCTGCCAGGCTACTGAGGCAGTCCGGGGAACGACATGTAGAACCAAGGGCGCTGGTTGGGCTGAGCAAGAGGTTAACTCTCTTTGTAGAGGGGCATCCTGGATTGACTTATCCAAGGATTTTTTGCAACTTATACCATTGCCTGTCACTGCTTAAGTCAAAGACGATTGATATTTTAGTAGTGGATTGGGGATCCAACGATTTGTGCGATACCAATTCCCCGCCAGAAGTTGTTCTTCAGAATGTTGATCAATTTCTAGATCATCTAAAATCACATGGGGTCACTCCACAGGAAATTGTGTTCCTCTCTGTAATTCGCAGGACGGTTATTTCCCGCCCTGGGCAGGTTTCTGGCACATCATTCAATCACAGAGCCGAGAAATTCAATCGGTTGCCTACTAGTAAATTAAATGAGTATTCTGGAATGGGGATATATGTACAGAGGAGGATTGATTATCCAAAATATCTGGGATATGGTTGTCACTTGAACCCAGGTGGTAAGGTCAAGTACTTCCAGGGAATTAAAGAAGCAGTGTATAAATGCAAACTATAGCTTTTGTATGTATTGTGTTAATGCAGCATGGTTATGGTGCGTGTTTAATGGTTGCCAGAAGAGCTACATTTAGTACCACCTGAAAGTAAAATTTGGATGATTAGCCAATTACATTATAATTAAACCTATACAGCCTCTTGTTTACTTTTGCCAGAAAGTGACTGCATCTGTTTTCATCACATATGCCTAGTAGAAGTATTTTAGGCATTGATATTGTGTTTTATTTACTGGCATATAACCTAGAAGCACTGGTTTTTGCCGTATATTTTGGATCTATCTGTAAAGTGTAATGAAGCATGTTGAAGCTACATTTACATGTTTGGGTTTCTGAACTTCTAGTACAGGAAGTCTCACACTTGACATTCAGGGTTTGTAGAGAAAGTCGATGGAATTTTACACACTTGGGTTCCATTCAACTTTATAACTACAGTGGAAACTACACTGTAATGTGTGCATTGTATAATGCACTTTAAGTGACATTCCAGACTAAATACAGAGAATGTGTGTGTAGTTACATTGTATCAAATGATAGTTAATACATTGTATAAGGTTGGTATTGACCTTGAACCTACGTTGGCATGGGGATGTGTAACATTATGTAAAGTTTGGGAATGGATTAAGCCCATATTACCCTGTTTGCATGTATGTTGATTACTTATTGACACTGTTATGTTGTAAGCCTTAAACAAACAATGGTTAAAAGTGCTATGGTATTTGAAATGACTTTTTGTTTTTGGTCTTTATACTGATTTTGGACCACTTGGGGGCCAAGTGCCTTAAAGTTGGGAAATTGTAGTGGATACAAGGGCGCCCTCACTTGGCGGGATTGTTTCGCGCGCTTTAGAATAACAAGCGCATTTTCCATGTACCTTTTCACAACTACTGGTCTCACTTTCATCGGTCTTGTCTTGTATTTGAACCGGGCAGTTTGGAGGAAGACATACTGTAGTATAATCTTTGAATACCCTGGAGTGGGTGAGTTGAGACACGAATTATAAGTCATTTGTTTTATGTGATTTTCGACTAGTTTTACCTCGTCGGAATGTACACTAACTTTACATAATGTGTGTGTACGTTGTATTTCGTTTAGTGTGTGTAGTGCTATGCACAGTTATACATGCATTGAAGTAGACATGGTGCACATGTATTGTACTCGCATTGTAATCACATGTATTGTATGCACATGTGCATTATAATTATCCATGTAGGGTACATGTACATGTATTTGTGAATATTTTATTTATTTAGTTAGGGTGTCTTTTTAAGAGGTGTCTTATTGGAGTCTCTTTGAGTGGAGTCTTGTTGGGAGACACATGACCATGACAGAATATATTGAGTTGCTGAAACTGATTGAGTCAGAGTTTTCTGTGGGTGTTACATCAGCCTGCCTCCCTGCCGTCGCCTGACCAGGGATCCAGATCCCTACTCCCTGTTGCTGTACACACATCGACAATCCAGGAACTACGCAAGTATACTGACCACCACACTAAGTATCAAAAACATAGGTATAACTTCAACGGGTAGCTCTACTGACATACATGTCAATAGTAAACAGGTTCACTGCGAGGTTATCTGTTTAACAATGACCTCAGCTGCCGATGCTCGCACTATTATTAGATACAGTTAAGTAGCATTGTGTTTCGATTGCGCACTTCAGTCCTATCAGCCTATCTGTTCCAAGGACACAACCATTACTCTAAACGTTGCCTTGGCGGGTAGGTGAGTTACTGTCAACATTTCTATTACGTTACTCAGTTTGTCATTCGTGTGCTTGTTAAAACCTATTTGTCAGTTCGAAGTGTGTCAGTGGAAGTTATACCTCAATTATTTAACTGGGGTGTAAATTATTACTGGGACGCCCTTGATGCTTTAGGTCAGTTTCAAGAGTTTACTTACAGACGCCTCTGCTGCTAGGGTTTTCTGTGTAAAAGCATAGTGCCCAATGAGAGACGAGAGTTTAAAGTTTGTAGCGACTGCTCCTTTAACTTTTACTGTATGTGACCTAGTAAGTCAAACGTCAGAGTGCTGTGACTAAGCATGATTAGTCACATTTTCGAAAAAAGGTGGTATATTGGAATAGTTCGTTTTCCCTAGTATCTGTTTTTGATCAATATAACAATGTGTGTATTTCTGTGTTATTTCAAAACAAACTTTCAATTCCATTGATAACAAGTTTCCACTTTTGCTTGATTTATTTGAAAATTTGTCGAACCTAAATGACTAATCCGTCTAGTCAAAATGACTTCTTGCGATACTCTCAGCATAAGGCCTGGTAATAATTTGTATTATTATTATTATTATTTTATTTCTCTCCACATACATAGATATAGTCAATATCATTAAAACATTATAAACCAACAACAAAACATCAGCACAAGAAAACAAATAATGTGGAGAAGGCAAGACCGTGCAGGAAACCAAAATCCTATCAACCAAAGGTACAGTCTGCCCGTTTAAAATGTGAAGTGAGGGAAAATTGACAGTAAAACAAAGTATAAATAATTACACACTTATATTAAATTTGTATGACACTTATTGTTCAATTTAAGTAAACTTTACCACCAACTGCTGTCCACCAGTGCAACATTACTCAAAGGGAAAACTGTTGGCAGCAAAGAGAAAACTCTTGACAATGCCCCCCCCCCCCCTCGCGGCGAATGGACAATTTCAAACCTCATTAATTGTGTCCGCCATCTTCGTGTTCGGTGTCTTGATGGTTCACGGAACTAGTCTTTCTCTTCGTCCATTTTAAACCAATACAGTACGTTATGTACAGTGACAACGCCTGAGTCGTTGAGGTTATTTTGTACTGTCGAGATAAGTGAAACAATAATTTTAGTACAAAGTTCATGTGCAGGTTTCGTCAACTATTGCCAACCGCGTTTTGGCATAGTTTCCGCAGTCATGGGTAGTCGACCTACGTTGCAAATAAATCTTGATTGATGTGTCGCGTTTACCGGATTGGTAACAATATTTGTCAGTTTCAAAGCCTTCTACAATTGTTTCTCATATTTGTCAAACTATTTCCATGTCCTGTCTTGCAAATCACGAGTTATTCTCCAATTAATTTGAGGATAACATTTCTTTTTGCTACTTGGTTTTTCCGGTCAAAACTTTGCCCCAAACTGCCCAAGTTAGCCGATTCAATTCTTCAAACCGCACCACCATACTGCAAATAGAACTGTAAAGTTTTTTTTTAATTTTTAAATTTATTTTGGCTGAAAAATGTTTCAGGGAAATACTCTTTATATTTATGAAAACCACCCTTTGGTCAATTTTGACATTGTCAAAAGTTGACAAAAGTGCTACATAGTGCACTTTGGAGATTTTTTAACATTTCCTTACAGATTAGTACATGAACTAAAATTTCACAAAGCCTTTGTGCATTCCATTTTTAAATGTACATGCACAACTTTGCTTATATCTCAATTGTGTCAAACTATATGACTGAGGTTAAGTCACGTGTCAACAGACATCATTATATATTCAGTCCTTCCAAGATTGAAAAAAAAAATGAGTTCATGCATGAAGGTTTCCAATAACAGGTGTCACATCTTTATATTCACAGTATTGAAACGTTGTATAATAGTGGAGCAGATAACATAAAGTTTGAAGTGGAATCGTAAAAATGGTGATACAAGCACCCAAATTGGCACAATGATTCTCTAGGGTATACTTCACAAAATCTGCCCTAGTGGCCACTTGAAAATCCAAGATGGCGGCCATTTGTCAAGATGGCCGCCAAAATGAGCCCCCTAAGAACTATTTTTTTCATACAAATATTTTTTTTTATATACAAACAAAAATAGTTGACATCCAAAGACCTGAGAGTACAACCAAACAACTGCCTTCTGTGCAAACGCTCATAAACACCGCATCTTTCAAACTGCATCATTGTTCATAAACCGTTGTCAGTCTTGGACGGTTTACAGTCTTTCTTTATAACAAACGGGGTATCAAACTGAAGTTAACAAAAGTCCCCAAAAAGTCTACATAAATGACATCATAAAAACGATCAGATTCAAACTTATGACCGCCCAATGTGTGGGACTTTTTTTCCTTCTTTTTTTGCGATGTTTATTCCAAGATTTAAACATACCCAAACTTGTTCTTGCTGCTATTTAAAATCGTTGAAATGTGTCCCCCTTCTTGTAAAGTCTTCATTCTCCCTAGACTTCGAGGCAAGACAGTTTGAATTCGGTATGGAGCTGTTCGAAACCCCAACAGTTAGACTGAGTCTCTACGACAAGGAAACCACCATTGTGGAAATCGCACAGGAGAGGACCAGGAGCAAAACGGAGCCGAATCGTACGGTAAAATATAACCGCAGTTTGGAATATCGCGTCATTAACGTCCCTACGTAAGTCGCACGTCATCATCAATTATAAGTACGGGCGTGGAAAGGACTGGTTCCCTGACGGTTTATAAAACATCGTCTTTTAGGTATTGCAAACTATGAAACTATGCGAACAAGTCGATACGAGAAAGTCGGCGAACAGTAAAATAGTATCAAATTGCACATTTTAAATAATTTATGAAAACAAAGTTATATGAGGTATGTTAGAAAGCTAACACACTTTGTGACGTCGTCTTTTTCTCAAAAGGATTTGGAAGATCCATTCATTATTTATGACCTGGGTGACGCAGTGTGCAAGGACAAACAATGGAAGGAGTCGCTACCCCAAGTTCAGATCTTCTTTGGTAAGACAACATTGCTTAAATTAAGTATATTATTGATAAGTTCTTTTTCTGCTGCCTTTTTCGATAACTATTGTAAGCATCACGTGAATGAACGTAATATGTCATTTGACTGCATGGTTTTTTACAAGCCTCCGATTCTTGTTTATCTCTAAAATTCACACTATGAGGTGATTTTTTACGTGAACCGAGTAATTGGAATTGTTACAGTAGTTAATTAGCGACAATTAATTAGCAAACACGTGTGTCTCTTCGTGAAAACGAAAATTCAAGTTTCTCACATTGTGGCCTTTTCTGTTCAATTTGTTTACCATATAGGGGCGCTTGTGTGTACGGTACGCGCGCGCAGCTGAGAACGAAAAATGCAATCATCGAGATGTTGGCCCCTTGCATCTTTAATTTAATTTTGAAATTAATGATGTCTTGCTTACAGAAACATGTCGAAATGGTTTAAAGCAAACTAGCGAAAACAAATCGAAATCGAAAAAAAAGGGTTAATTTTTGACATTTGTCTCCATGACAGGGAAATAGCAAATGGGAATATGTGACTCTGTGACGTCTTTCTAATAGACATTTGGAAATAAACCACAAAGGGAACTGGCTAGGAGCATTAAAATAACTTTAAACTTCCATATGCAAAACTAATTCCTTTTGGTTATTTCTAGCTGTAAAGAGCAACCCGGATCCCGTGTTCCTGCGGCTTATGATTGGACTAGGCAAAGGCTTCGATTGCGCCAGCAGAGTACGTACGAGAGACTAGTGTGAAGTTGGGTGTTTTCCTGCGGACTTTCCGCATCTCAAATCTCAATCTGATTACAGAGGGCGCTGTGTAAAATTTTTATACAGAATACTCTTATTATAATTTTGTGCTCTGAAATAAGTTTCCCTTAACTATTATTTTTATCAAAAACAAAAAAACAAACAAAAGAACATGTAAATTGTTGACAGCAGTCCCGGATGCTCATACTACAATAGGTCTGCCCGTCTTTTTGTCTTGTTGTGGTTTTTTTCTCTTGCTTTTTGATACCATCATCGGAATGTATCAGTAAAATGTTTGAGTTTGTATCAGTAAACAATATTTAACGTATATGAGTTTATGAATGGGAAAAAAACAAGCAAACAAACGAATGTATACATACATAATGCGCATTTTAGCCTATTATGTGCAATTTCTGTGTAAATGGTGGTTGCCAAGCAATATCTTACAGCTACTGGAAAATTATTTTTGTTGGGTTAAACTGTATGCGCACTACTATAAATTAAAGTGGGAGCTGGGGGGGGGGGGGGAGGACAACGCCATTTGCGTCCCCCGCCCAATTATTATTGGGGGAACATGTGTCCTCTATCCCCCTCCCCAACCATCGCCACCCATGCTATTTAGTGAATTGGAAAAGTCACCTTCCTTAACCCTTTTTTTTCATTTCGTTGCTTCTATTGCCACTATTGTTCCAATTCCCAAAACATCACCAGCTGTGGCCAACAAGTTAAGGCCGATTGCTCTTACAGACCATTTTGCCAAAGTTCTTGAAGGGTTTGTTGCCAAATGGACATTTGAGGATTTGGCACCTAACATAGATCAACACCAGTTTGGAAATCGCAAGGGATTTTGCACCACACACTATCTTGTTGACTTGCTACATACTTTGTTTCAGCATGCAGAGAAACCTAAAACATCATCCACGCTTATCAGTGTTGTAGTCAAGGCCACAACCTCCGAGGCCGAGGCCAAGGCCGAGGCCACAACCTCCGAGGCCAAGGCCGAGGCCGAGGCCACAACCGCGAGGCCAAGGCCAAGGCCGAGGCCACCACCTCCGAGGCCAAGGCCGAGGCCGAGGCCAGCTATCAAAACACGTAATAAAATATAAATCACTAAAACAAGGCTAAGATTATGTTTGAGTTTTAACATCTTTTTAGTTGAATTCACTGAGTTTTGGAGTGCCTGGCTTACAAATTTACAGCTTGCAATAGGTTTCTTCTTGTAGGGAGTCCGGCGAATTTTATTTTTTAAAGAAATCTCAAGTTTTGTATTACTGAAAGCAAATTACACAACAAAATCAAAGGCGTTTGAATCAGGCTCATAGGTGTTTGCCCTTTGGAGATACAACAATTTAAATGGCCAAATTTTGAGTTTCTATTCTGTTAGATTTACATTATTTACTTTTAACATGTTTTATAAATCTTATTTTCAAAACCTATCAAAATGCTTAATATCATAGGAATCCCCATTAAATAAACAACAACTTGATTATTGAATCAGGTTTTTACCACTCATGATAACCAAAAAGTTACAACCCCCCCCCCCCCCGACCTTCGCACTGTCCAGGTGCGCGCCGAGCAAACACCGCGATGCGACCAGACAATGCCAGATGGCCCGCTGTTACGCACGGGCAAAGCATAGTTCCAATCCCGCTCCACACAACGGGATAAGTGTCCACGCATTATCACTGTTAATACCGCGGTACCAGACAAAGTCTGGCAATGGCCAATCGATCCCGCTCCAAACAACACGGCAACACGGAACATGCGTGCATGATATCACTCAGTTCATCAAAATGACCATGAATTCTCGGATCATCCGATTTGAATCCAATGGCTTCGAAGAATTTTAAGATCATGGCAAGAGGTAGGGAGTCCAGAGGTTTTGGCCGTATATCTGTAACCACGCAAAATTAGTCAATTTCAAACCGTGCTTATACATGTAATAAGTATCAACATGGCTCTAAAAATACAAAAAAGTATTCTGGTACCACGAGGAATACTGACTCCTATTATTAAAACATTCATTCAGAACTTTGCATTAATATTCATTTGGATGGAAAAACGAATTCTGAAATCGCGCTTTCCATATCGACCATTTGCGCCAAACATTACCGTGTGAGCCGGAACTTTCATTTAAATCACCGTGTAAAAATAAAATCTACTTGATAAATCGTAACTGTTTTTATCATATCTTTATGAAAAAAAATGGTACGGACTAGTACACTCGATCGTACCCATAAAGTTCAGACTTGTACTGAAACAGTGGCCTATAAAAAGAAATGATTAAGCTTGCCGCACCTTGCCGCAAATCATTTTTAAAGGTCGGGGTACAGAGGCGAAACGAGAAAATTTTTGTACAACACTGCAACCAGACTAGTCTACTACCACATGTTATTGTACGCAGATGGGATTGGTGCCAGACTTATGTAGTCTGGCACGCGGTAACAGTTATAACGCTTGCACGCACATGGAAAGCTGAAGCGCAGGCTAGGCGAAGAGGCTACGTACGTGAGTACGTTCAATGCAACCATTTCCAGTTCATTCGTGCGTACACTGTATATGCGTTCGTTTCACGGAACCCACTGCGGCAGACTCTCGAGGGTTTGATACGGTAAAAATTTAAATTAATTAGAATAGAAAACACATCAAAATGGGCGGCCTCGAGCCGGCCTTGACCGATTCGCCGAGGCCGGAAGGCTCCGAGGCCGAGGCCAAGGCCGAGGCATTGCACCTCCGAGGCCAAGGCCGAGGCCAAGGCCATGAAAATCGGCCTCGAGGCCGGCCTCGAGGCCGAGGCCGGCCTCGAGACCTCCAACACTGACGCTTATCTTAACTGACTTCAGCAAGGCCTTCGATCACATGGACCACAACATCGCTATCACGAAACTACTTGCCTTAGGAGTTGAACCCACACTAGTCCAGTGGATTTGTAACTTTCTCAGTAACCGACAGCAGTGTGTGCGTTATCGAAGAATCAACTCTGATTGGACCAATGTGCATGCTGGTGTCCCGCAGGGAACACGCCTTGGACCAATCGTGTTTCTAGCAGTAGTCAATGATGCGCTCCAAAACAATCATGACTCCACACATTACTGGAAATATGTAGATGACCTGAGTATAGTTGAGAATCGGTCCTCACATGCACCATCAAGAATGCAAGAATCCCTTGAGTCCCTTGTTCTGTGGTGTGAAACAAACAACATGAAGCTCAATCCTGCGAAATGTTCATCAATGGAAATTAACTTCATGAGAGACCCCCCAATCCCACCAATCTTCACCATATATGGTCAACAGCTCCCGCAGTCGGATACAGTGAAACTTCTGGGTGTACACATACAGAAGAATCTCAAGTGGGATACAAATGTTGACTCAATATTACAACGAGCAAATGGACGGTTACACATGATCCGAGTTCTCAAAGACCATGGTTTACCGGTAGAGGACCTTCTTACAATCTACAAGGGGTTTCTACGGCCGCTTCTAGAGTATGCTGTACCACTCTGGAACGGCGGAATAACCAAACAGCATGTACATCTTCTTGAACGTGTTCAGAAACGCTCACTCAAACTTATATTAGGTTCTGATTACACTCATTATCAACATGCCCTAGATACTCTTAGCATACCGACCTTGAGTAGCAGACGAACTGAGTTGTGTCTTAAATTTGCCACAGATCTGAAAGCAAATTCCAAGTTGAATAATATCATCCCCACTCGCCCCACAAATGGCAGATTTCTACGTAATTCCAGTATTCCTCAGTTGCAATATAGAACAAATAGATTCAAGAACAGTGCAGTACCCTACCTCATTGACTTAATTAATTCTAATTAATTCCAGTGTTGTTTTAATTTTATGATTGCTAGATTTGAAGTTCACCAGTTTTTATTCCTTGCTAGACCCCAATTCTTTTCAGGGAAATCCTGATGAATCGCAGGGAAATCGGGGTGATTGTGGTTGTCGTTATAGCTGTAATCGTTGTTGTTGTTGTCTTCGTTATATCTTCGTTGTCACTGTGGAAATTGTGGTTATTGTTTCAATTGTAGTCAATACTGTTCTTGTTGTATTCGTTGTTACTTTTGTCATCATTATTGTGATTATGGTTCTTGTCGTCCTTATCGTTGTCTTAATCGTTATTCTTGTCATTATATAGTCGTGATTGTGGTTAATTGTTGTCATTGTTCTCGTTATCTTTATCGTTATCTTTGTCAAATTTCTTAATTATTGCATACACATCTGTATATTTTTTATCACAACTGATACCATATGACATTTTTTTTTATCTGTAAAATGGAATTTTTAATTAATGAAGATTGGCATGTCAGAGATACTTTTGGGTTAAGACAGTTTTTGGACCTTTCAATGTAAAAGTACTTGTTTATTTTAAATTTAATTTAATTTATTTTATTTAATGTATTTGTATTAGCATTTTTATCTGTTGACTTGATCCAATTCAATCTTTGATTGCCACATCAAGTCTAATGAAAATAAACCATTTATCTATCTATCTATCTATCTATCTTCTTGAAGAAAGAAATAGAGACGGTGCTTGATTTAGGAGCAAGTCCAGATCGCATAATCTTTGCTCATCCCTACAAACAGGAATCGCATCTACGCTTTGCGAGGGAGAAAGGGGTCAGGCTTATGACCTTTGACACAGAAGAGGAGCTGCACAAGGTCAAACGTGTATACCCGGAGGCCAGGTAAGTAGGCCTATTATTTTGTCAATCCGTTCCGTACCGAGTAAAACTGTTACACATGCAGTCTTGATACCCAATATTAAGGGAATAAATGTGTGCTCCGGAGGTTTTTATCACTCTGTTTAATACCACTTAGAGTCTGGGTGCTGATAATTACCCGAGCCGGAGGCGAGGGTAATTATCAGCACCCAGACTCTAAGTGGTATTAAACAGAGTGATAAATACCGACGGAGTACATATTTATTCCCATTCATAAATACCTTTTCGGTAAAAAAAAATCATATAATTCGTTCAAAACATCCCGATTTTGTTCAACAATTCACTTTATGCTTTTTGAATCATCCCTCCTGCAAAATAATGGAGTGTTCAGCTGGCGAGTAAGATGAAAACAACCCTTTTATGGAGATTGACGCGCGCGTATCATGTTCTATGCGATGTCGCGCAGAACGCACCTGGCGCGTTGCGTTTTGAATTTAGAACTATAAAATTCTAACTCCCTGGTAGTGTTGCGCATGCCTACGTGAGGATTGTGAACGTTCAACCAATTAAACGATAAGAGGCACTGGATTTTTAGGAGTCCACATTTTATTGTGACACTGGAAAAGTGTTTAAGACCAGCTAGCCATGTCTTTATCATCCGTTTAATACCGGCCACGTGACGGGCTCTCGACCAATAGGAATGGCTAAACTGTCTGAGGTATTTATGAATCCCTTTTAAGAACTTGTCAGAAGCGCATTCCTCCATTGTACTCAATTCAAAAGGAACGGCGGGAAACGGACCATTCAGACGAGTACTTGCTTCGTTGGTTACCAGCTAATATTGAAGGGAAGATATAACATTTGCAAACATCACAAAACGAAATTAATGATCAGCTTATCACGAAAAACCTTACTGGATTGTAGGGGAATTACAGTCTTAGCATCCTGTAAAATCGTGGCTCCTGGTGAGCTGACATTTTCAAGACCATGTTTCTAACGCTGGTCGGCCGACCAGCGCTGGAGAAAACTTTTGTTTTCTCAAAACTGCTCTTACTTTTTCATATTTACGTATTCCGCATTTTGTTTGCAATTGATTACACACCTGTGAAGGGGTAAAAGACTGATTCTCTGACCTTACAATTCCATAAAGTTTGTAAATTGCTCCGTTTCTTTTTAAGGGGGATCAGGGAGCCAGACCACAAGTATATTATTGGTTTTCTTGCTTGTTTCAGTATTAACAAGTCCAAAACTTGAAACAAGTCAGTTAAACAAAATTTGCTATAATATACTAATCCTCAAAAGCATGGGAGTTTTCCCATTGGCTTTTTCCCATGGGAAATTTTATATGGGTTTGTCCCATGTCTGGTTTCCTATAAATTCTCAACAGATTCCAAATTGCTCAATGGTATTTTTCAATAACAACTTTCTTAATACATTTTAACCCTGTGTGTTTTGTGTTATTCATCATAGGTAAAGCATATCACGGAACTCCGGTGGGATTTGTTCCATGTATTAGGAGTGGCTTAGGAAACCAATGTTCACAGTATTGCCCCCATACCACTTTTCAAGTTGTACCATAATATCTTATTGAACCCAATTTAGTTTCTCATAAATATTTTCAACCAAAATAACAAATGAATCAATATTATCCAAAGTTCTTTGAATGACACATTTTCCACATAAAAAAAATACCGTATGCTTTATTTGACCTCACTAATCAACAAAACAATTCAAAAATGTGTATATGGTAACAATTCAATCACAACCCTCGTTATTGAAGCGATTCTCACAAATATGTCCCATGGTGTTCCCATGGTGTTTCCATGGTGTCCCATGGTGTTTATTCCATTGTGTTCAATTGGTAAAAATCCACGGGAGTTTCCCGTGGTCAGCATCAAAATAGAATTCTTGATAACCTCTATGACCACAAGGGAAACATTTTTAATTGAATTCAAATTTAATCAAATTAAAGAAAGGTTTGCCTATAATTTGGGAGTGCAATTGGGTATATGATGGTTCCCAAATGGATGGTTCCCCAGACTACAAGAATATGATTGGTTTTCTCGGTTTTTTTCTCTCCAGAATCTACGAACCCAAAACGTGAAACAAGTCAGTGCAACAATATTTGCTACAACATACTAATCTCCAAATCCATTAATTTCTGAAAACTGCAGCAAAAGCAAATGTTGTTCAATCCCTTTTACATTGACATCCATATGCATAACCAACTCTTACCATTCAACACATGCATGGACCGTTTCACTGATACTGTTGCTAATCCGCACTTAATGTTGTGATTTCGTCGTCAGGCTGGTACTTCGCGTTGTCTTTGACGATGCTACTTGTGGCCTGGAAATGGGGGTCAAATTCGGATGTCGCAACAGTGAAGTGCGCCCTTTAATGGAGCTTGCCAAGGATCTGGGACTTGGCATTTACGGTGTATGGTAAAACAGAACAATTCGATATCACTTCAAGAGTCATGCACACTGTGTTGTATTAAGAAACAATCAGCCCGGTGTATTTTGGAATCTTCACATAATCGGGAACACAATATGCCACCCCCCTTTTTTTTGGCGAGCTGCGAAGCAGATGCGAGCCTATGTAATACCAATTTCCGTCCGTCTGTCCGGGCGTCAGTCCGGCGTACGTCTGTCCGTCCGTCCGGACGTCCGCATTCAAATAAAAATGTTGAAGTTTTTGGTTCTAGCTAACTTGGTAAAAAAAAATGCAGTTTACATGTATCATCTCTATAACTTACAATTAGGTTCATTTCTTGGCAGTTAATTTTATGATTTTATTGAGGAATTTTGATTAAACAAATGTTAAAGTTTTTAATTGTTAAAGTATGTTTACTGGCATAACACGTACATACATGTACACACATGTACACACGTACCGTACCCGTGTAACATGTGCACTCTGCATTATGGAGGAGCATTCATATGTATGTGAAAGTGCTTCTGGTTTGATCTGTTAGTTTGATGGAGTTGGAGTAGGGATGGGTAGGGATAGGTAGGGGAGGGTGGGGTCGGGGTGGGGCATAGGGGTTGGTTTGGGATGGGTTACAGGAGGATGGGGTGGAGGATAAGGGGTTGGAATACTGGGTTTGGGTGGGGTAAGGATGTGTAGGGGTGGGTGGGGACAGGTAGGGGAGACAGGTAGCAGGAGGATGGGGTAGGTGGGTGTAGGGTTTGGGTTAGGAGGGGGTGGGGGAGGGGCGGCACATAGGGATTGGAGTAGGTGTTGGGGTTGGGTGGGGATGTGTGGGGGTGGGTGGGTGTAGGGGTTGGGAGGGTGGGGGAGGGGGTGGGGCTGGGATATAGAGATTGGAGTAGGGGTTGGGGTGGGGATGTATGGGTGGGTGAGAATGGGGTTGGTGGTGGTAGGGGGTTAAGGTAAGGGAAGGTGGGGGAAGGGGAAGGAGATAGGGATTGGAGTTTGGGTGGGATTGAGATTTGTAAATAATGGGTGGGGATGGGTAGGGGGAGGATGGAGTGGGTATAGGGGGTTGGGGTGGATAGGGGGTTATGGTGGGTTAGGGGCGGGGCGGGGCGGGGATGGGGTAAGGTTTGGGGCATGTGGTGATGATGCTGTGTCTACATGTACATGTATGCCCATTCATGTTCCGCATTTGTGGATACTACACAAGAGTTCTTCCATGGTAATACATGTATGGGGACATAAGACGCTGTGGGGCTGCAAAAAGGCTCCACAACAGGGTCCTTAATACCCTAACAATGGAAAACTTCCATGTAAAAATGTGTACATGTACATGTATTATTAGGACATTTGTTGACTATTTATGTTGGCATTTAAAAACTGACCCCTACACCTTGAATTGGCACATCAACCAGAATCCTGATCCCCATCATGCCCATCCCCAACCCTACCTTCAGCCTCCCTTCCCGCCTTCGACAGCGAGCCATGGCGGCTTCGCCGTTCTAGTTTTTAACAGCAACCACAAGCGGGCGTTATCATAACTTCCCTCGGTTTTGATCAAAGTAATGCCGTTTCCCTTTCAATAATTGTTAAAGTCGTAATGTTGGCACAAAATAAGGCTTCACCTCAATTCTTAATCCCCTTCATTGATGATACAAAACTAACCCGTAGCTTACAATGTATCCACAAACAAATGTGTTTTTTTAGTTTTCATATCGGTAGCCAGGCCGGCAACCCTCGGGTTTTTCGCGAGGCTATCCGATACACCCGGCCAATCATCGACGAGGGTAGACGCCTGGGTTTGGACATGAAGCTGCTAGACATTGGCGGGGGATTCCCGGGCAGACTGTATCCCGAGGAACCCTTCGGAAAGGTACCGAAGCAACGCGCGAGACGGCGCGTCGCCAGACATTTTAATTTCATAGGGGCGCTGTTCATCAGGGATCGTTTGTACCCCTGTCCTATCCAATGAATGGATGTTATGCAAGTTTGGCATGCAAATAAAATGCATACCAGCGAGCTACATAAAATGCCATCACCATTCAGAGTAGGGTGTGCATTTACGGGTAGTACAGGAACTGGGCACCCGATTGAAATTTAAAAAAACCAAAAAAAAAGCAAACACGGGTACCCGTTTAAGAAAAACCCAATATAAAACATACCAAACATTCAAATTTTGGAAGTTGTAGTTGGGATAGATAGTTATAGTTGGGATTGTAGTGCAGTTGTTTTTATTTCTTTGTTTCTCATTCGAGGGTTCGTATTGCTAGAACAACAATCAAGGCAATTGAGACTTGACAGCTTCACATCTTTTTGGAAATTCACTACACCCCCGTGTTTTACCTCCAGTTTGCAGAGGCAGTCCGCGAGGCCCTGGAGGAGAACTTCCCTCCAAGTAGCGGCGTGAGTGTCATAGCTGAACCGGGAACATTTTACACACGTTCGGCTGGGTATTTAGTGGCCAACGTCATGGCCAAGCGGATTTACAAGCCGAGAGGGAACAAGGACACATACCACAATGCAAATGGTAAGATAACCCCTTTTTTAAGGAAGTGTCACGCTGAATTTCAAAACGTCGAATGCTTGAAGCTTCTCGTGTTGCTGTACATGTATCATTGAATGAGGCACGATTCCTGCTAGCGGTATTTGTCATGTTTAATTGAGCGTATCTGTTAGGAATGTCTTTCGTCTGATCTAAAAAGAAGAATACTAACCTTAAATGATAACACAAATTGGGAAATGTATGGGTTGTGCCCATGGTTTTGCCCTTTTTATGTGAGAAAGAAGAGCAGACGATTAAATGTCAAGGTTTCAATGCTAAATTGCCTCCCTTTTAGATGATTTGTTTTGTTTCTTACATTGCTGATAATGGGAATAAAGCCTATGCAATTGAACAAGTTAAACGTTACCTAAAAGTTCATAAATAAAACCGTTCATCCAAAGTTGCTCAGTGTAAGATATTGAGTCTTTCTGTAATCTTCAATTTACCGGAAGGTTTTCAAATTCCTTCTTTCTGACTCGACCATGCAACGATACTTCTCTTGAAAAATTATTCCACGTTATCCACGATCGCATCCCCACGTAACACATATACGCTGAAGTTTACGTCGCCTGCGAGCCGAGCATGTATATACCGTATAGAGGTACGTACTTGGGCTTAACTAATGTGTTCTCGTTTAATAATAATAATAATAACGTGCTCTTATATAGCGCTTTACATTATTATTACCCCTGATCATTAGGTCAATTAAACATTCCAAATACCATCTCGGCTCCCTGGGGCGTATTCAGCTCGATGCAGCCTGTTAAGCGCAAAAAGCTAATTCAATCACAGTAACCATCTCTGCCCTCACAGGTACCCATTTACTCCTGGGTGGAGAGAAGCAATGCGTAAAAAGTGCCTTGCCCAAGGGCACACGCACCATGACCCCAGGCAGGACTCGAACCCACAACCTGCAGAATTACCCGCAGACCATGAATCCAATGCCCTTAACCACGAGGCCACAGCACTCATTGTTTTTGTATTACGCTTTCAGGCTCCACCGATAAGGCAATATGGATGTACTACTTGAATGTGGGAGTCTTCAATGCATTCAACGGCCCGTTGGCACAGCTCGTTTCGACTTTCTTCGAAGTTCCCGAGCCGCTTCATCCAAAGGTGAGAAAAGCATTGCATTTTTTTGTTTTAGGATGTACTATTAAACTGTTCGCCACTAACGTACGATGGCCAACAATACAGACATGCTCCCGACATTGCCTTATGTTTTTGGTGGTTTTTTTTTTTTTGGTTCGAAAACGCCGACGATTCGCACACAATGATGCTTTTTTGTTATATGCACCATCAATTGACAAGCCTTACTTCACTGGCGAAGTTTAACATCCGGTCACTGTTACTATTTCGAGAATGTTGAGGTGCTGCTGTCCACGCTGACGCTTGTGGCAGTGGGCGCCGCCGTGGTGAAGTTGTTTTCATTCCATAGGCCCACACGTGATGGTGCATTCGCTGGTGCCCGTCAAACGTTTGCGTTTAAACACTACCGTGATTTTGAACGCACCCTGTATGTTGCAAAAGTAGCGATAAAAACGTGTATGTGGAGACCACAGTAAATTTGTATTATGTTCAGCTGCGGGAAAACAGCTCGACAAATCATCTTGTCTCTCCGTTAGTCTGTTCAGTTAGTTAGTATAAAAAACGTTGACATTGTATGTTACTCCCACCCTATTATTTTGACCAATTTCAACCAAGCTTTGTCAAAAGTATCAGTAGCCCAGCCCCAACATGTCACATGACCAAACTGGAGTCAAAAGTCATCATGGGGTCACAGACCTGATTTTGTTTTACTCAAAACACTACCCCTGGAGTCAAAGGTTATCATGGTGTCACTTGGGTCAAAAACCTGATTTTCTCTTACTCAAAACACTATTCCTTCCAGAAATTACATGGCACAATCACTTGACTCATGCATGAACACGAAATCGTTGGCCCGCAGCTTGCGAGAAATTTCCGATCGAGCTTGTTAATGAAATACACGCTATTTGTTTCATTTAAACACAACATTTTAGCAAGTCATCATCAACATTTCACCGAAAAATTATAACTCTGCAGGATTCTGGTGAAAAGCAACAGTTGAAACCCTCCTGCCTTTGGGGACCCACGTGTCATCCCCACGATGTCATATTCGAGAAATGTATGATGCCAGAGATGGAGAGCGGGGACTTCGTCATGTTTCACGGTACGTATACAGACGCCTTGCTGGAACGGAAAAGGGCGCTCTGCAGTGTGAAAAGTGTGGACGGGAGAATCATTTCAAAATTCGGCTTCCACTTCATTGCCAGGACAAGGAACATTCAAAAGCTATTGAAACAGGGAATAAATAAGCGCTTGGCCGGTTTTAAACAAGAAAATCTTATAGCCAGGGAGCGTCTATAGCCGCGGCCGCTAATCCTCACTTGAATGCGTTTGCCAGATGTGGTACGCCGTGACACACACGGCCAATGGGCAGCAGCTCACGGCCGCTGCTTTGGTGCAATCCGCTACCACACAAACGAGGTGCAGTCATGCTTGTCACTTGTTCCATGTATGGAGGAATCCCCCATTAAGTTCCGTCCTAGGGGTTAAAACAAGTTAGGGGTCTGGACGCTAATAATTGCCCGAGCCGGAGTGGACGTGACGCAAACCGAATTCAAGGCTTCTCCTTCAAGCTTAAACCGTAAAAAAAAAACCGTTAGCCAGAGACCAGTCTCTTAGAGGTAGTTCTAAATCTAAAACTGAATGTTACCGCATATCATGTATGTGTCTGACTGATGATAATTGCCTTCCTTTCTTGGTTGATCAATACACTTAGATATGGGAGGTTACATAACCTCATGTGCGTCTGGATTTAATGGCTACGAGGTCCCGCCAACGTCTTACATTGCACCGAAGGAATCTCGGTAGGTAGGCCTATGGAGCTTGACTTAGGTGTTTTTACGCCTACCTATAGTAAATACAGTCAGTTGCGCTAAACGGGGTAAGGTTACGTCTCGATAGTCCGACGTCCCAGTGGTCAGACGTCATATTGGTCAGATAAAACATAGCAGGGTGTAGTTCCACTGGTTCAGGCTCACTGACCCTATTAACCGTAACCCTAATCCTATGAGGCGTCGGACCAATGGGGGACGTCAGACCCATGGAACGTTGAGACCAATATGCCTCGGTCATGTTTAAGTGAAAAATCCGTGAGGGAAAATGCTACTCATTTATAGTAACAATTTGGTGGTTTGCGTCACGAGATTTAGCATTGTTTTTTCCTTGGTAATTGGTAAACCTTTTCTCTCTGTTGTTTGTTAATCCTCAGACCACTTCTAGAGAGGATATTCTCAGCCTAGACGAGAGAATTCCTATTGCTGATACGAACAACTTGGAGTACGCGTGCCTCAGTGCCTTCGATTGATACTAATAACATTTACATAAAATTGGGTGGTAGATGTTGCAACATGAACCAGACAGACGTCGAAGCATGAACCGGCTTGATAACACGTGGTTAAGGTTCATCTTGTTGGCCTGCAGCTGCTTAGAACGTACCGAAATAATTATGCAGCGAGCCAAAAAAAAAAAAAAAAAACCGTGTACGATGGAATGCTAGTCTTGTGTGTTTTCATTGATCAAATCTTATCGTATTGTAGTGTAAGGTGATATGCCAGGTCCTTGTTTGTTCCGTCGGCCAAACGCAAACGGAAAACAAACAAACGCACTCAATTTCGTGCAATATCAAACACACTAATTTATTAAACGTCAGCAACTTCTCTATCTCTAAGCACACTCACTGAACTCAGTCCTTTGTCTCCCCCAGGCTAGACAACTTACAAAGGAGTCAAGCGCTTTTACACAATGTACAACAAATAACTTGCCCCGGTGTCTGGCCAAACCCTTCCTGAGTAACTGAACAACAGAACGATAACAGAAACAGTTTCTTTGTAGAGCCTATTTCTTGAGCGCGCGCTAAACAAAGGAACGTATAGGGCAGCGGACCTGCAAACCAGACAATGCCGGAGGTATAGCCTACCGATATACCGGCACTGGCTTATGACAAAGAAAAGAGAAAAAGCTTCCTAAAGTGTCCGTTGGGGTATTTAACAGTTCAAAGTATGATTGGCACTATATTTCTTGTCTTTCAAGTAGTAAACCTTTTTTTAAATCTACTAATTGTATGTATTTCGATGGCTTCTCGGAGCCAGTCAAATTGTCACTAATAACAGCTTGTCATGAGGGAATCTAGTCACTATATCCGATATTATTTAAAAGATTACGTATTTCTTGCTTTAACGATTTTGCAGTCAGGATTTAACACCTGACCATTCATTATTGGTGTCCGGAGCAGCAGAGCGGTGTTTTGAATTCAAATAAAATGGTATTTGAAAACTGTTGTCTCTTGAACAAAATGTATGACAATTTATCTTGATTTTATATTCTTATATTTTCTTTTGGTATTTTTGATGATGGAGGTTTGTGTTTTTCTGCTACATCAATTTAAAATTACGTAGCTTATTTTGTTCTCTTTTTATTTAAGTTAAAGAATGCTTTATTAATACTATTGTTAAATGTAATAAATACATTTAATTTTGAGCGTCTTTGTTCATATCCCGTTTATGATTATTTCCTATTATCATTGTATGATTATATACGATAGCACTAATCTACAACCAGTCTAAATGGCAGTCAGTAATATGACTGATTTCCATATACTATATGGAGATCAAGATGACGTTATGTATCCAAGAATGAACAACAATTTACTTAAAGGTGTCATGAAAGCCCATTCATGTTATTAGCAGTGTAGTGCCTAGTCAAGTCAAACACTGAACATGCCTACTTCCGCGAAGTCTGATATAATAAACCAATATTTTACCGTTAGGCCAAAAAAAAAAAGTCTCCGGTTTCTGGTATGGAGCTTGCCCCAAAAGTGGTGCGGCGACACGGCTTTTCTTTTTTTTTTTCCCTTTTTTTTTTTTTTTTTTGGCTTCAAATGTCGGCTGATGACTGCAAATGGTGCCCGACTAAACTTAGTGCAAATATATGGGAGTCCAGAGAGGCCACATAAATCTTATTCTCGATCATAACCCCATCTAAAAACACGTTAAAATTGTGCAGCAGCAGAATTCCAGTCAAACCAGTGAGTTTGGCGGTTTTGAAACATCATCTTGTATTGAAAAAAAAATAAAAATCATTTTGCCGACGCGCATGGCTACGGCGACGCGCGCGCATACCAGAAACCGGAGACTTTTTTTTTTTGGCCTTAGGTCCAAGGGCATTGAACAGCACCACCTTTTCTTAGCAGCGGCTGGTGTCCTGTCTCACCCACCGTAAAGAGTACCCCTGTTGTTCGATGATGTGCAAATAATCTAGCGGTACAGGGTGAGTAAAAGGAAAGCGGAACCCAAACCCCCAAAATTATATTTGATATTTAAAAAAATAGTTAGCACCAAAATTAATAATGACTGGAAAGCCAATTTCCTAAGCTACTTTAAGATGAAAAAATACTGAAATTGCTCAATCCATTCAAAGAATATCGTCATTCAAAAACAATGACCCTAAAACCTGTCTCGTCTAACTCACCCTGTATATTCCTAATGACTTACATGTCGACGGTCAATAGGTTCATTGCTAGGTTACCATTGCACTGATAACCTTTGTCATTGCCCGCATAAAAGGTACACGTAAGCGTTTATTTTCGATTCCGCACTTAATGCAGCCATATCAGCTTATCTGTTCAAACAACACAACTATTTACTATAACGTTGCGTTGGCGGCTATATATGATAGTCAACATTTTCCATACGTGTCAGATTGCCATTTTTTTTGCTTGTTAGATATTATTACTTTCAAAAGTTGAAAATCTCTATAATTGAACTAAAACATGGGGAAGAACAGTTGTTGTTTTTTTTGTGGAAAACCTGTGAAGAATAAAAAATGATACATTTGATTTTAACATTCTTGTAAACATTGTTTTTCTCTCATTTACTGTTAAATTGGAAAGCACTCAACCAGAATAAATGACAAACAGAAGTTTTCAACTACGTTCGCAACTCATTAGTGTTGACATTAAATGAAAAAAAAAACATATCGTACTACTGCCTAAATCCCCAGTAAAGTTGCTCCTTAACCGAGCTTTGGCTGGTTTTGGGAGAAACCTAGTTAACATGTCTTGAACATAAAAGAACGCGGGAGATCAAAACCTATCATAAGCCAATTGTCGAATACGGATTTCTTCTGAAAAACAAGACGGTTTCTCCATAAGATCACAGTCTTTTTTTTCTTCCAAGTTAAATCTCCCCCCCCCCTCCCCCCGGCGAAGCAACGGGTGGACGTGGGGGTGGGACGCACGCCCTCTCCCTTCTTTCAAAAAAAAAATGCCTCCCCCCAAAAAAAACCCCAAACAAACCAACAAAACAAAAAACATCGAAATGTGGCAACCGGAGAAAAACACAGTCCTCAAAATGACCATGATTATTGTGTATAACCGCAAGTGATTTTTGTTTAAAAATTTTTGTTTCTTTATTTTTCTTTTCACAAAAACTGTTTTCCAAGATAGGGCTTTTATTTGAAAGTCCCGTGGACAGCGAATATCGCCACCTATTGTCTGACAATGACCATGATGTTGGTTTTGAACAACGCCCCATGGGTATTTGTCTCCAGCCGGACAAGCCCCCTCCCCCGCCCCCACACCCACGCACACACAAGTGTGTACTTGCCTGCAATCGGGGACCCCCTATAGTCCCTCTTTTTTGTACTTTTTAGGAAGACCTCATATATGTTTTGTACACATCGCCAAATTGGGGACCTTCGGGAAATTGAGGACCCTATTGTCCTCTATTGTTCAACGTCCCCTATTGAATGCAGAAACTAACTCATTGCACACACAATTTGATTTTACAGCGGCCGGTTGTCCGACGAAATAAAAGAGTCCACCTTTCAGCACGGATGCAAGAAATTTGGCGCCCTCCACTAGATACCCCCTCCCCCTCCCCTATCCCCTGCCCCTGCCCCATCCCACTTTCCTCCCCCTCCCCTTCCCCCCTCCCCCTAGGATGAGAACCCTGGCTACGCCGCTGCTATGTGCCCTTTGGAGGCGGGCGACAGACGACATTTCACTCGAAAACAAATAAAATTACAACGATGATTACAGTGGCTCGTATTATTAAATTGTTTCTACAGTCACGGCTCACTGAACCGAGACCGGAGCGTCTGGGGAAAATATCTGAGACGTGATCACCACAAGGGCGGTTGTTTTGGATGCACGGATCACTGGTTTGCTTGCTTCCGAGACGGCACTGACCAGTGTGACCTTCACTGGTGTCCAAACAAGCGTTTTGCGTTCTCCGCGTACTTCCTTCCGCCTCCGATCTTCTCCCCGAATACCCACGAAAAACAATAGTATGGGTTTTTCCGGCCAATTTCCCAAAATGTTCATTTACTTTTGAAAGTCTGTCATTCATTTTCGCCTGAATTTGAGAATCGCTCTGAACACGCGTTTCATTGTTGCTATCAGAGCATTCGATTCTATTTCAGTTCAATCAATCCAGTGATTGAGCAGCACCTTTCGTGTATGTCCATTCAGATTCGCTTACAAGACTTCTTTCTCGGTTTAAGAGGGTGATTTCAAACATGCACCATTCTATTTCACTTTTAGTTTAATGCCACCGGCACCAGATACAATTAGGGGTTTCTTTGTCATTAACCGTCAATCAAATTAGCTGTACCTGAAATCAATTTAGAAGGTATGCTTCCAAAAATGAATACACAGGTAATTGGCCGTCTGTTTCTCTAAACCGAATGCACGGACAATGAAAACGATTGAACTTTCATTGAATCGAAATGGGAGTAAAGATTGCATTCAAATTCAGACGAAAATAAATGACCGATTTTCAAAAGTGAATGAACATTTTAGGAAATTGGTCGGGAAAACCTATATTTAAAGGGAACGGCTGAGCGATAAAAGTGAATTCGAAAGATACTTAATGCACTCTTCTTATTGAATAACATATTGTACAAGCCTCATGATATCTAACCTTTATTTCTCATTAGACGTCCGGTCACAAGTAAATCCCAAGGCGAATCGCTAAGATCAGGAGATGAAAAATTAAAAACTAAATATCATTTGAATAGCTGACTTGGGACTGGTTAACTTGTGCTTGATTTGTGATGGTCTCGCGATGATTTTTTGTGTGTGATCCATCACAATTACCTTCACTATACATCTGATAAGAGGTTATAAGTATCACAAAGCTGCAATTTCCATGTTAATACTTTTTTTTGTATGTCAATAATGCGTCCAGTTTAGTAGCGGCATACGGTACGCTTGTCTATCTTCATTAACTAAAAATACGTTGTCCTTGGCCCAAATAGGCAACATGGCTTGGCGTACCTTAAGATACTACTCAATAATTTTATCAACGTTATATATACAAAGAAAAGGTAAAGTAGTATACAACTGGACAACTTCAATGGTACATGTTTAATGGTATTTACTTCCATATCAAATTGAAGTTTGTTATTCTCATCCAATCCAAACAAAATTAACCTTATCCTAACCTTATACCCAATACCCTAGCCACAACACTATACCCCACCCCTAACCCTTACCTTACCTAATACTTTTGAATGACTGTCCCTCAAACAAATCTAGCGAAATGAAAATAGATAGAAGCTACTAATGTTTTCACCCCTTTCCCAATTGATCAGGATGTAAACTTGGGATACATCAAAACAAATGGTTGTGTTTGCGTGCTTTAGTACATTTCAAAAAATCACAAAGGGTAAAAAAAAAATGTCCTGCAGATTCATTGCGATATATACCTTCACTTATATTCTTTCTGGTATGATGACGTTGGATTTTTGTTTCTTGACACGGCATGGAAGCTTAGGTGTAATTTAATGATTGAAGAGCTTGTTCCCAAAAGCGACACACGCCAATTTGATACCTAGTTGTATCCAGCCCGATCCTGGTTGACATCATTCAGTTTCGACAGCTGTTACAATAAAGTGAAAATTGTAGTTAAAAAAACAAACAGCCGATATACCAATTTAATAATTATTGTTTCATAACCGTGCAACTTTTTAAGGGTTTTTTCTTTTTAATGGATATACATGAACATGTAAACGCGTTTTGGAAATAAGTTCTTCGATTTAAAGAGAATTAAAATGAACACAGTTATGAATATCCTACCCAATTGACTAAATACATAATTATGTTTCAGTTTTACTCATAAAATGTGTTATGAATTCTGACTGGCATGGTTTAAAACAGGTTCACCGTCACAATTTCCAAG